ATGTGGAAGAGGAACCTCCCAAGAGACCCCAAACCCTAAAGAACAAGAGAAGAAGCGAGACTGGGGCACAGAATCCTGATAAGGAGGCTGAGTGGCCAGACAGGGCCAAGGACTGGAGCTGTGCCTGCCATGAGGGAGGTCTTGATTCAAAGCTGAGGCAGCGCAAAAGGAGAAATGGTCGCCACTGCAGCAGCAGAGTGTGTGACAGCAAACCCTACAAAAGCAAGGAGCCCCAGGTGCCGGTGAGCAGCAGTCCTCACCCCACTGCAAGGCCAGTCCCATGCTTGGTGGCAAGGACACTGGGCAGCGCAAGAGTATGGTGGAGGTGGAAGCCCCAGAGGGGCGGGAGTGTGTTGAGGTGACGCAGAGCAGGCCTGGCAGAGCCACCAGAAAGAGCGAGACACCTGTTCCAGGATTGGCAGCAGGAAGCACTTGGCTGTCCACCCGAGAAATGACTACTACAGACCAACTCCTCCTGGACGGGCCACCACCTTGCTCCCCAGAGACCCCTCAGCCTGTCCCACCAATCAAGCTGGGCCTGAGGTCCCCTCCTGCACCCAGGCATCCTCCACACTCATGAAGAAAGGAGGGCCATGGGGCAGCGTCCGAGTCCATGACTTCAGACAGTGAGAAATTACCCTAGACTGTTGAGGTCCCCGCTTCCTTCCCGAGTCTGTTTCACCGTGGACCAGAGGCTTAGGGGGAAAAAACCCCAGGAGTCTGCGGTGTGGGAAACCATACACTGGAGAGCGTGGGCTGCCTCAAGAAGAGCTGGAGTCAAGACAGCAGACAGGATGCCCCCGTCCATGAATCTTCACCATAACTGACACCACAGAAACGTCTCCTAAAACCCTTAGCGGGAGTTTGAGTAAGGACACTGGAATATTGGACAAGGGTCCAGATGGGGAACCACCACCAAAGCCCACAAAAGCTACCACAGGTGCCAAGAGAAGCAAGGTCGGCTCCACTGGGGGGGAGGTGGTTCTGTGGACAAGAAAGCTGACTGTGTGATTTCACCTTGTGCCCGGAACAAGGCACAGCCACAGACCCTCAGTCCCATCTCCCACCAGCTGGGAAATAAGACCCCTGCTGAGGCGTCTCACCGATTCCGAGAAGCCATGCAGCTCTTCCACAGGCCCGCTCGGAGGACAAGGATGATGCCACCAGCACCAGCAATACGGACCCGCTTTCTGAACACGGGGACCTGCCCTCTGAGGATGGGTTGGATGCGTGACGTTCTGGCAGGCTGTGGGTGTCACCTGCATAGGACCAAACCCAGCGTGCACCAAAGGCTGGGGAGACTGGCTGTACGCTGCTTATCCAACCCTCAGACCCCATTCACAGAGCAGGAAGAAGAGGGCCAAGGGCAAAGACAGAGTCAAGCCGGCGGTTGAGTAGGGCCCAGGTTCTGCCTTCCTGTAGTGCCTCGCACGAAGACCTTCGAGCCTATTTTGTAAATAGCAGTGCAGACTAGGGACCAGCTATCTAAGTGGGAGGGGGTGGGGGGCAGCTAAGTCCACAGAGAAGATTCAGACCAGTCTGTGATACAAGGACTGTAAATAATAAAATCCATGACTGGAGGAGGGAATGGAATTTGAGATTAAATTACGAGTACCCAGCTTGCAGAAGGCTATGGGTGGCAGTGAAAGTCCAAAATCCATTTGCAGGATTCCCTCTTGGCGAAGTCTCCAGTGAATCCCTTGGGACTAATGACGGAGATGTGAAGTAGGTTAGAATTTAACACCTTATCATTGGTTCCTCCTTTTGACCCATTTTTAATTTGTTCTAGCTTTGTTATTTTCTGTTATCTTTTCAACTGAGGTTTTTCTTTTTTGTTAGTTATTAAGTTTGTTTTTGCTTTTTGATGTTTTTTCTCTGCCTGAAATCTAGGATAAGCAAATCTATGGAGACAGAAACAAGATTACTAGTTTCTTGGGGTTATGGCAGGAAAGGCTGGAGGGAAATGTTCTAAAATTGACTGTGGTGATGATTACACGTGTCTTTTTAATATGTTTGGATTATTGAGCTGTGTGGTATATGATTAAATGTCAATGAAACTGTTAAAATTTCTAAAAAGTGAGTTTTAAATGAGCCAATGAAAACCCTATGGATCACAACAGCTGACTGTCCAAAGCCGGGCTTGAAGAGGAGTGCCCACCCAGTGGCTGCAGCAGACCAAGGACGCAGAGGGGCAGGGCCGGGCGGCGTGCCATTCTGCTGTCTCCAAGGGCAGAGCTGTCTGGACAGCAAGTAACAACAGAACCATCAAACGTTACAACAACCTCTTAAGCGTTCACTGTCACCGAATATAACTGACAACTGGGGCAAAAGCAGCCCAAGACGATTGTGGATATTGTTGAGAACGAGGGGGTCAGAGCAGTGACTCCAAATCCATCTGTAGACAATGGTACAGCCCCTCACAGAAGCGTCACAAGGAAGGGATGGATCAATCAGGGTGCAGTATAGCACCGATGAAACACACAGTATTCCTCTGGTTCTTTGAGGCTTCCTCACCCCCCACCATCATGACCCCAGCCCTGCCTTCCACTGCAGGCTAGGCTGGAGCATGTGCACAAGTACAGATAAGAGCTCATGACACACGAAACCCAGGTCAGCTAAACCCCTCCGGAAAAGAAATGGGAGTTACGTTATCAGGAGGGTAGGGGGAAGGTGGGGAGAGGAGGGAAGAAGAAACCTAGGGGAGGTGGGGAGTGGGAGACAGTGGTTGGTGTCAAATATAAAAATAATAATTTATAATTTATCAAGGGGTCACGAGAGTGGGAGGGGGAGAGGGAAGGTCAAACGAGGAGCTGATACCAAGGGTTCAGATAGAATGTAAGTGCTCAGAAAATAATGATAGCAACATATGTACAAATATGCTTGACACAATTGATGTATGGATTGATGTAAGAGCCCCCAATAGAATGATCCTTTAAAAAAGGGGGGGTGGACTATGGAGATTTAGATTTGTTTTCACGTTCTGAATGAAGAGAGGGCAGGGCGACCTTCACTGTCACATAGAACAGGAGGCTATGGGCTACTCACCCATGACACTAATGACACTTTTGTGAGATAAAAATAAGAAGCTGGGGTAGAAAAGGCACTGGGACACTAACATGTCTATTGGTACTGAACCTTGTACAGAAAATCAAATGGCTCATGAACGACAAGTTTGTGTTAAGAATGTCTGATTAATAAGTATATCCCAAGAAAGTCCATGAAAAGAAAAAAGGTATTCAAACACTCATGTTTTATACACAGTATGAAGATGCTTCACAGAAGGCCCTGACTCACTGCCACTGAGTCGATTCTGACTCACAGAGACCCTATAGGGCAGAGGAGAACTGCCCCTCTGGCTTCCAATGCTCTAACTCTATAGGAACGGACAGTCTCATCTGACTCCCTTCAGCGGTGGTGGCTTCCAACTGCTGACCTGTGTTTGCAGCAGACACATAACCCACTGCACCACCAGGGCTCTGACGCCTCTAATGTCCAACATGGAACTTCTCGTGAATTCATCATTGCTGCTGTTCTGCTCTTACTGTGCTGATGAATGCCTCCCTTCTCTCTGGGTGTCTTGTCTGATAAGGTAGAGTCCCTTTTTTGTGTTTTTTTTTATGCTTCACTTTGAAAGAATCTGCAAAAGGCCTTTGGTTCTTCTTCCCCTCCCTCCGTTCCTCTCTCTCTTCTGCCTGCCTGTCTTTCCTGCAAGGTGTTTGTGGTTCATGTCTTTCAAGCCTGCTAGCAGTCATGTACCCCAAGTCGTTGTACCCTGTGCTGACAAAAGATTATGAAAATGCTGTCTGTCTTAGGAGAGAATCTGACAAACAGCATGCAGGTTGATTTTTAAGTGAGTATCACAGTAGTCTCCTTGCTGAGAGTTCTGAGCAATGGAACAGTTAGCCTCTTGAATAAAATCACATGCACAAACAAACTCCAGTGGTTAAATACAGATGGCCAATGGTGCATGTTCTGCCCCTGGGAGATGCGCAATCACAGGCCGAGACTCTGGAAGACCTGCACTCGGAGGCATGCGGACCTTTCTCACGCTTTCCCTCACCTTGTCCGACTCAGAACTTTTCAGCCCCAACCACTGTCACCAGCTCTTTGAACTCTTTCATGGAAAGAGGGCAGGAAAGCTTTAGGAAAAGCCATATCTATTCAATCTACCAGAGTTGAAACACGTAGCCATTTCTTCATGTACTTTCACAATAATATAGCTGCACATATTAACCTGCTACAATAAAACATAGCAAGTCATGACTTGGAAGTACTTACCCATGAGCATTATCAAGTTCCCAGGATCCCAGCAGAGCCTAGTTTCAGGTTTGCTATTAACTAGCAGCATGAGGTTGGGGCACAGATTCCAAGTCTCTAAGTTTTCATGCCCACCTTTAAAGCAGGGATAAGACTTACCCCGTCTACATATACCTGGGAGATTTGGTGAATCAGTGAGGAAAGCACAGGAGACATTTTTAGAAGCTATAAAGTTAAAAAGCGGCGCAGGATTCTTACTGCAAGTAGAATACCCATTTCCTTTTTGGGGAGCCACCATAAACATTCCTGTGAAGACCCCTTCTTTGCTGATGATGCCTGGCTCGACGACTGTCGACAAGCATCTCACTTTACTTAGTAGAGAGAAAACCGATTTCTACGCATCTAAATGCATCATCGAACTTCATGCGGAAAGCGTGGCACCAAAACTACTGAGCACATCAGAACATTCTGCTTTACAACAGGGTGGGTGTATGTAAAGCAGTTTGTACACAGAAACCCCTCACTCCTGGCTGTTATTAACCAATCCGGGCCAGCGCTCCGGTCGCAGGGAACAAACACGAGGGGGCTCCAGAGTCTCCCAGTCCTTCATTAAACTATTGATCCCTTTAGCATTATCCATAATGTCCCAGCAGCTCAGCGTGTCACGTGGTGACGTGCTAGTCTCTCTTTCTGTTCAGTAACTTCCCCCCTTTATGGAGTGGAAGTCACAATGATTGATTTACCTGACATTTTCCAGTCCGGATGTCGTACAGGGCCACTGAACCATGGCGAGCTCCAACCGCGATTCTGTGATTCCGCTCATAATAGCTGACCATGTAGAACCTGCATCGAACAGTTGAACAACAACAAAAACAAAACACAGAGTGGGTGAGAGGACACACGGGGAGGTGTGGTGGGGGTGGGGTGGGGTCACAGCACACTTCAAAGAGTAAAGCCAGCTCTGGCAAATTTTTCAATGAATAAATCGGCAGCAAACATATTACAATTTTACTTAAAAGGTTTCGTTTTTGGTAATTCTTCGAATTAACGGAAAGAAAAATGATGTTGATGTACCACTGAGGTCTTTTGACAGTTGTTTTCAAAGGACAACAAACTTCCTAATGGCTAGCGTTCTCTGAGATCTTGAAATGAGAAAGACAGAGGATGAAAGGGCTGGCTGGCTGTGAGGGCGCTCAGCTTCATGCCTGCAAGACCGTGCAGATTTCACCTTGCGCAGAAGCGACAAAGACAAAAGGGCCCGGACAGCCCATCCAATGATGCTCTCCTGCCTTACTGTGCTGTCGAGGGATTAAATGTACTTCCTAGTAGAACAGTCATAACATTGCCACATAAATTCTAGGCTTAATTTCATGTCCGTAATTTAGACAGAAAGCAGAAAGTTGGCCACTAGAATATAAGCTAGCCTGCTAATTCCTTACATTTTCCACATTTACCAGTTAATCTCAATGACAGCCATGATGATAAGCAGTTATTTGGTGCTTAGGGTGCATTACATAAAACTAAGATTTAAGGAGAATGGTTTGAAGGTGAAGAGATTTGTTTACAAATTTCCCCCCCTTGTTTTCAGTTTTCACGACTGGATTAAGTGTCTGAATTCTTGATTTGTGTGTTGTCACACTGATTTTAAAACTGTATGGCTGGGATGTGGGGAGGTACGATTATAGCTAGTAGGTGTGTAAACAAAGTATGATTTTACATCTCACCACTGGAGCTTCAAGTATTCCGTCCACTTTTCAGCCCTACTGTGCTAGTTAGTGCTCACTGCCGAGATGCACAAGCAGCCTGCGCTGCATGCTATGACGACCTTGCACATAGCTCTTTGCCTTGTCCCTTTAGATTTCACACTGGGAGCTTAACTTTTTGTTACTATTTTTTTTAAAAATGTGGGAGGTGGCTCACAGGTAATGCTAAAAAAGATTTAAAAAAAAAGTTAGAAAAACGCCGTTTAAGATAGTACAGAGAAAATCTACTGGGCCCTGGGAAGGCACTTCTGAATTTCTGGCAAGAAGGAGAGAGGCAGGGAGGGTCGGCTTCTGGGAAGGAGCAAGGCGAGAGAGAAGGGGTATCAATCGATGTCAGCGATTTGACAAAGTCATGTTATTGTTAGATATGATGGCATCAACACACATTTGACCAATTCAGAACACACCCCATTGTTTTTTATTGTCTTTGTTACGACCATGAAACATAAAGCAGTCTGTTCTGACCCTAAACCACCTTCCCCAATCACCAACCCCTTCCCCTTGCCCGACAGAGGAATGATTTTTAACACAAGGAAGACCCCATGCAGAAATGTCCTGCTAGATGCTGCTGTGCTTCAGACTTTCCCTTTTGCATAAGAATATTGGTTGGAGGAAGGAAGGGTACAGAGCATTCATGAGACACAGGACGCCTCACCTATTAGGTAAGTGCTTTTAGCAAGCAGTTAACTTGTCTTACTCTACACCTCAGTACCCAACCCAACTCATGGCCTTGAAGTCAATTCCAACATGGTAGAGAAGGGGAAGTCCACATTCTACATCGAATATACTTGAAACTAACAATGTAGAGAGTTGGAAAGCATTTAATACTGAGCATTTCAAACCATTGCTGCGGAGCTGACTCTAACTCAGAGTGACCTGTGGAGGGTCCTGAAGCTTTGGCCCTCTTTCCAGTAGCAGCAGACAGCCTCTACTTTTTCTCAATTGCATATTAGAATATTCCATTAATTTCCAGAGTCTAAATACAAGTACCACTATGTATAGCTATAGCTATGTTTATACCTGTACCTACAGTACACATATCATTTATATCCTATGGATATAATGGATATATCCACAGGAACATAGGCTATATAGTACCTGACACACATAACACATTTATTTTGTGAAGAGTAATGATCATAGAAAAAGAAAATTTCCAGAGGTCTTTTTTTTAATCTCATACTAAACTTTACAAGGGTTTAATAGCTATATTAAAAACATTTATATATATATATATTTTAAATGCATTGGTAGTGCCCCCCCACCCAAAAAAGAAACCCTTTAAAATAAAACAGTGGTAACAAGTTACGTATTACGTGTCCCATTTTCTAGACTTTGGAGATCAACCTCATCCTTCTATATCATCTACCAACACCATTATTTATGGGAAGAAAGATCACATCTATTCTTGGTATCAAATCTTTAGTCTGCCTGAAAGGACATATATTACAGGTCTGCCATTTTTCATCTTTGCAATTTTCTGCTAGACTAATACTTATAAACAAGAGCTTCAGGAACTCTGGACAGCCAAGGACTGTGGCGTGTTTGTATGGGTGGGGGTGGGGGTTCATGCTGAACTTCTCATCCCTCTCTCTCAGAGGCCTCATAGACGGGGGTGGGGTGGGGGGTGGTGGTGGTGGGGTGGTGGTGGTTGCGCTTTTGCTGTCACTTCACAAGTAGTCTCTATGGGGACTGGCTGCAGGGAACCAATGTCGGTGGAGCGTCCCCTGATCTCATGTCCAGAGCCCACCAGACCCCTAGACCGCTCTTCTCCTGGGTCCACTTCACCACCTGGAGGCTTAAGAATAAGGGCAACAAGCAGCACATACTTGGCGCTACTCCTCAGGATATCAAGTGATTGGAGATGATATCCACTGTGGTTTTAAATTGTGTGTGTGTGTGTGTGTGTGTGTGTGTGTGTGTCAGTTATAAGGATCACGTATGACGAGCCTTCTGGAAATAGTATCTCAGACTTCAGCACTTTGTTGCATTTACATGTCACCTGTGCAGCATTTGGGGGGCAACACCCCGGCAAGGGTCCTTTTGTCATCTTCAATGTCAGAGAGAACATGACCATGCCTGTAACTTGGTTCTCCAGGAGAACAAAGCAGAACCAGGCCGTGATGTAATATGTGTTTCATGCCGGGGCTGTCAACACCCCAGAGTGAGAGTCTGGTATGTCCACATGCCGCCATCAGGTAGCTCCCCCTCCACTCACAGCAGTCCTTGAATGCCCCTCCAGGATCTGGGCCCACTATTGCTCAGGCTGCATGCCCCCCTCCTGGTCACCTTGCTCTCGGACTGTTCTTTTACACGTGCCCAGAACACCCTCATTAGAGGGCGATTTCACTTGCCACAGATTTCCTCCAGGGCGCACCCCCACAGGCAGGCTTCTGTTCCAAGGGTATCATGAGAACACTCACTGCCACGGGGTCGATTCCAACTCAGCCACTCTACAGGACAGGGTACAATTGCCTCTGAGTTTCCAAGCCAGTAAATCTTTAAAGAGCAGAAAGCCTCATCTTTCTCCCACAGAACGGCTGGTGGTTTCCAACTTCTGACCTCGAGGAGAGCAACACAATGGCTAACCCACTGTGCCAACAGGGCTCCTTGATAGAGGAGGCCTTTATGGATCACTCAACTCTCATTACTCTTCAGCTCATTATCCTATTTTATTTTATTTTCCTTCACTATACTCTTGACTTCTAAGATAGTGCATACTATATATATATTTATTTTTAAATTAATTGGTATTTTCCTCCATGGGGGACTTTGTCTTATTCACTGCTTTATCCTTACTGCTTAGCACAAAACCTCAGCTGAATGCATAAATCCCAATACAGACCCAAATAGCAGAGGGCAAGAAGTTTAAAACACTATGCTTTTCCTTCAGTGATGAGTACATAAATGATGCTGAATATGGATTTTCAAAGAATAAATATTTTATAGGGCCTCAATAATGGAGATGCACCACGAAAGAAACAAAAAACCATCTCAAAAGTTGGGCAAAAAAAGACATCAACCCCAAACTAGCATGCTGTCCCTTGACCATTCTCAAAATGAGTTTCCAAGAGCAACAGATCAGGCTTGTGCACACGAGCCGGAGAAGGACATTGCACGATGCCAAGTGTTGGATCCTGTTTTAGGGAACTGGAACAGATGACCTTGGCTGAGACTCAAGACTCACAAATATCCATCATCATCTCACTGCCACTGAGTCAATTCCAGCTCCTAGCGACATCATGGGGCACAGCAGAACCGTCACTTCTGGGTTTCCGAGGCTGTAAAAGTCTCTCTGGAGAAGCAAACTGGTGGGCCTTCAATGGTGCGCTGTGAAGCAGCCTGACCACAGCACTACCAAGGCTCCTTGCTAACTCATAAAAACTCACTGCCATCGAGTGGAAGCAAACTCATAGTGATCCTCCAGGCTTGGAAAGAACCACCCCAGGGATTTCCAAGACAAACGAACTCTGTTTAAGAGTAGAAAGCCCTGTCTTTCTCCCTAGTAACTAGTAGTTTGCTATTAAACATGAGAAGTGATTTTTGGGAACGGGTAGGAGACAATCCATTTCTCCTAACCTGTATTTTTTTACTTCAAGTCTTCAGGAGTCACCCGGAATATTCCACAAGGGAGTGGTTTAGGATTTCAATCACGACTGTGAACTAAGAACCCACTGGCCCTGAACATTAGGCTTGTGAGTGTGTCCAGCTGGGCAGACAGGACTCTGACTCACTCACTTGGTTTAAAGACTCTTTATTTAGTCTCCTGGAGCTGACGGAGCACTGGTGGCACTGTGGAGTAAGTGTTGGGCTGCTAATTGCAAGGTCAGCAATCCAAACCCTCCAGCCACTCTGTGGGACAAAGGTAGACCTAGCTGGTCCCATATAAAGATTTGTAGTCTCAGAACTCCTGTTTCAGAGACTATCCATTGGGAGGCTATCCACTGGGATTAACTCGATGGCTCTGGGTTTAATAGGTCTGAATTGATGAGCTTTATCTTTTATGAAAACCAGATAAAAGAAAACTTGTGTGAAATTTAAAATGTGGATAAGAAATGAGAAGGAAATGTGCAATTCTCA